ACCGGGTGGTCCACTGTTTCTTCAGCTTCTTTGCATAGGCGGCACTTACTGTCTGTTGCTGTCTTCTCAATTTTGATTTTATATGCATTTGTCCTTAAGGCTTGGTCTTGTGCAGCCAGAATTAGTCCCTCGGTCTCTTTCTTCAATTTTCCTGCTCTTAGCCATTGCCAGGTCTTGTTATTATCTGCTTTCCCAGCTATTTTTTTAATGTACTGGCCATGTAGTGCTTTGTCTTCCCATGCCTCTATTCTGTTCTTCGTTTGGTCTTTCTTGTATTTGGTCTTTCTTTCATTTCTTGTCCGAAATGATATAGGGTGTCCTCTCTGAGCAGGGGGTTGGACTAGATGACCTCCAAGGTCCCTTCCAACTTTATTATTATTGTTGTTGTTGTTGTTGTTGTTGTTGTTGTTATTAGTTTATAAGTAAGGGTGAAAGTTTATACATATGTTGTATATAGCATGTTTAAATGTGTGCTATGCTATGTATATGTACACTTTTGAGAGCAAGCAAAATAAATTTCATTTTTAATGTGTGCCAATGTGCCCATAGTAAAAAATGACAATAAAGGTTTATCTATCTATCTATCTATCTATCTATCTATCTATCTATCTATCTATCTATCTATCTATCTATCTCTATCATCCATCCATCTCCTACCTACCTACCTACCTACCTACCTATCTATCTATCTATCTATCTATCTATCTATCTATCTATCTATCTATCTATATCCTATCTATCCATCCACCCACCCACTCACCCACCTACCTACCTACCTACCTACCTACCTATCTATCTATCTACCTACCTACCTACCTACCTATCTATCTAGTGATTGACAATTAGCATATACATTTAATTAATAAATATTTAATAAAAAATAAATTGAAAGCACAAAGTGCATGAAAAAGTCAGCCTAGGATATTAGCTAGGGCACTGCTTCCCCAACTTTCTCCTTCCTTTCCAAAATAGCTGATCAGAAACTCCTTTTCACCCAATGTAAGTCATCATCACCGCCATCATTTTAGCCATGGTCCATCCACTGCAGGAGGAAGGCCTCTTCCGCCTGTCTCCAAGCCCCACGGTCCTGAGCTTCCTTTAGCCAATTGGGCCGGCCATACTTGTTGATGTCGTCGCTCCATCTTGTTTTAGATCTCTTTCATGGACATTTTTGGTCAACCGCGATCCATTCTATGACCACCTTGGTCCACCGGCCGTCAGTTCTTCTTGCTTGGCGACCAGCCCATTTCCATTTCAGTTCCTTTACTCTCTTGACGGCATTGTATACTTTTCCTTGGTTCTCTAATCCAGGGGTCCCCAAACTGGGCAGCGACCCGGTAGTGGGCCATGCCCTGCTGGCCATCGGGCCACGGGACAGGCTGGCCAGGGTGCACGCATGTGCACACTCACCCCCCTCACTTGTGCTAGCGCCGCAGGGCGCAAAAACAGGATACCGTGCCATGCAAAAATGGGCCACTGCTGCGCCTCAGAGAGCAAAAATGGGATGCCACCACTACGCCTCGGGGCGCGAAAACACCGCCGTGGCACCACAGGACACAAAAACAGGCCAACATCATGTTGCAAGGTGCAAAAACGGATGACGATACACCTCGGGGTACGGAAACGGGCCACTGCCACGCTACGGGTTGCAAAACCGGCACCACCATGCCATGGGGCACAAAAACGGGCCACCGCTGTGCCGCACGGCGCAGAAGCAAGACGCTGCACTATGCAAGAACGGGGCAGGGCTAGTGAGTATCACGCAGGCACTAGGCCTGTCCTGTTTGCGGCGCACACATGCTGGCGCACGCCCACATGCCTGCGCGCACACGCCCACATGTAAAATGCTTTTCCCTCCCTTTTCCTCCAGTCCACCAACTGACAAATGTTGGTGACCTCTGCACTAATCAATGTGCGGGTCTTTCTTGTCTCGTGATGCCGAGCATGTATGTTTCCATGGCTCTTTGCGCCACTCATAGCTTTTGTATCAGTTGTGAGGTTAGTGTCCATGTTAGAGCAGGTAGCACACACTGATCGAAAACTTTTTTCTTCAGGCATAAGGGGGTTGTTCTTGAAAATTATGTGTAGCTTGCCGAATGCCTAACAACCACATTTAACATCCCAATGTAAATAAAACACTTTAAATCTGGGTGTCTAATGTTGGCAATTTTATGATTTGTGGACTTCAGTTCCCAGAATTCTGGCTGGGGAATTCTGGGATTTGAAGTCCACCCATCTTAAAGTTGGACACCCCTGCTATAAATCAATTTAAACATCCCCGTTGTGATTGAGTAATGGGTTCAGGTGTCATTACCCAAAGGAAAAAAACCCACTTTTATCTCATTCTGGTTAATTTACCCAGGTATGGAAACCACCAAGCTAAGGAAAAGAATAATAACAGTATCAAAAAGTCAAGATCAAAACATCCTCCCGATTTCACCAAACGTTAAAGCGTTCGCAAAAGGTTGAATTTCAGCTCTCTGGAAATATTTTCGTGCCCAGAGGACTGCAGATTTTTTATTCCTCCAGGAGTCGTACAATTTGCTTGCCCATGAAAACTCTGCTCCTCTGCATTCGCACAACACACTATTCCAAACCAGTGGTTTGCCATTTTTGCTCCTTCCTGAAGACTACAATATTCCGACTGGAAAC